CTCGCGTTGTGTTTGGACGGGCAGGTGGGGGTGTTCAGGGCCCAGCTGCTGACACCTGATCCCGCCCTGGCCAGGTGGGAGGACGGAGATTGGCGGCTGGCCCCTGAGATGCCCAAGATAACCAGTCAAGGAGATAACCAGAGTCAATCCCAGTCGAGCTGGGTGATAGGCTGAGATAATGCACAGAGCCACTGAGGCAGATCCTGTCTGGAGACACTCGGGCACCTTGATCGCAGGCAGGCCTGACCTGGCAGGGGGCGGGGGCGAGTTGGCACCAACCTCGGCGTTTCCGTGGCTCGGAGCTTCCGTGCCCTTCGGCTTGCTCTGCTGTAGTTTTGTTTTTGGGTCACACCTGGATGTGCTCCGGGGTCACTCTTGGCTCTGCACTCAGGACTTACTCCTGGACGTGCTCGGGGGTCCCTATGGGATGCCGGGATTGAACCCGGGTCAGTTGTGTGCAAGGCAAATGCCCTCCCCGCTATACTAGACTTCTGGCCCCAAGGCCCAAAACTTAAAGAAAAATCCTTGCTGGGGTTTCCCCGTCCCTGGCGTCCTGTCAGCCTCGTGGGTCTGCACACGGCTTGTGCGACTGCCTCGAGTGGCCAGTGACAAGGGCGCCCGCGTGTCCTCCTGCTCCCCAGGGCTGCTCTCTGCCGGTGCTCCTGGCCCTGCAGCCCTCAACTCCTGCCCTGTGTTCACTCCTCCTTTCTGTGGTGTCCCCCTCCTCTCTCGGTGGCCCTCCCCCTGGGGTCACCCCCCTTCCTGCGTGGTGCTGGGACAGCAGAGCTGCCGGGTTTGTGCCGGCTTTGTGCCAGGTGCACGGTTGACCCCGGGGGCTTGGATTCAGGACCTCCAACTTGTGAGGCAGTGCTCAAAACCCCCTCTTGTACATTCCTCCCCTCCAAGCTGAAGGAACGGACTTGACCCACGTTCAGGCTCACACTTCTGCTTCCTGCTGAATCACTGCCGGCCACTAGCAGGCCAGGACCCGTGTGCCACGCCTGTGTGAAGCAGGGACGTTCCAGGGCGTGAGCCTGCTAGCGTCTTTGTCATGGACACACGTGGTCCCATCACAGGATTTAGGGTCAGGGTCCAAACACAGGAGCATGGGGGTGGGGGGGTGGGGGCTTGTTCAGGCCGGAGACTCTACTAGGCTCACACACAGCATTGAGTGCTCAAGTCTCAGGGAGACAGTGAGGCTCAAACACATTTTCTTTTGCGCTGTTTTTTTCTCTTTTTTTTTTTTTGGCTTTTTGGGTCACACTCAGTGATGCTCAGTGTTGCCTACTGACCAAGTAAAAGAATGCTTGATTTTTCATTCCCCCTTTGTCCTGCTCAAAGCTGGGCAACTTCCCAGTACAGGAGGTTTCAGTTTGGGGAAAATGCACCCTCGTAAATGATTTGTAAATGATGTATGAGGAAGAGCACAATCTTTGCAGATATGTCAAAGCTATATCAAAGCAGGTCGTTCTGACCAATAGCATTATGCCGAAAGGGTCACCAGGTGGCTGACCAACAGTGCATGGCTCTGCTCATTGTCCCATCCACTTTCCCACGTCCCATCCCCTTTCCTTCTTTTGGGTGGGCTGTGGAAACATACTTAAGTCTGTACTTATGCTCTGAATAAACGCACGCATTCATGCCATCTCCTGAGTGACGAACCCTGTGTGACTCGAGTGCTGATTTCACCCTGACGGCCCTCCCCTGGCTCGGCCCCGCAGCGCCGGACGTGGCACTCAGGAATTACTCCTGGCAGTGCTCAGGACTGGTGATCAAATCTTGGTCAGCCGTGAGCAAGGCAAACCCCTCCCCACTGTGCTCTCACTCCAGCCCCTCCTTTTGCATCTTTTTGTGTTTTTTCAGAATTGATTGATTTCCAAGTAGCGTTTGCCGGCCCTGACGTTCTCTGCAGAGTCCCTTGTTGCACACTGTGTTTCGTGGGCACCTTGACATGAAGACTTGGCGCTTGCCTGCTGCATGGCTGACCCCATAGGTCCCCAGAGCACCGCCAGGAGTGATTCCCGAGTGCAGACCCAGGAGTAACCCTGAGCACTGCCGAGTGTCCCAAAAAACAAAAGGAAAGAAAGAAAATAGGTATCCTTGCCTGGAAGGGTAGCCCAGGGCCAAGGAGCCTGCCTTGGCTGTGGCTGACCCCACCCCACCCTGTACGTCCCTCCCCACCCAGGTCCTGCCAGGATGAGCTCCCATGACTGGATCAGAGTCAGCCCTGAGCACCATCAGATGTCCCGTCCTCAGCCCCCAGGTTAGGTCACTCCGCCCTCCCCCCCTCCCCCCCACTCCCCGGTTCCCGCTCACTCATCCTCAAGGGGACCCGCACTCATTCAGCTTGTGCTCCCATCCGGAGCAGGCCAGGCCATACTCCTCTGTACAGCTCTCAGGCCTTAGTGGGCTGGGCCACACCCTGACCACGGTGCGGCCGGTGTTGCTCACAGCACTGGGGTCACAGAGAGCAGGGCTGTCAGGGTCGAGCTCAGGGCCTCTGCCCTTTCGCTCTGCCCCCCCCGACCCCCCCCCCCCCCCGCGGCTCACAGATTTCCTGGCCCGGCTCCTGAGGAGGGCCCTGGGCAGGGTCACTGGGTCCACGTCCCACTCGGGGGATGCTGAATGACCTCAGTTGGAGATCTGTAACTGACAAACATTTGTCAAAAGTTTTCTGAAACCACTTTCACAGGGCCCGGGGATCCAGAACTGGGCCCCGCTTGGACCAGAGGCTCGTTGGCCATGTAGTGCTGACGTCTGCAGGGCAGCCCTCCGGAGCCTCAGCCAGACACTGACATCACGAAGGGTGGCGCCTGCCCCTTTAAGAATGGCCCATGATGCCCTCCTCCTTGCTGAATTCTAGTTCTACCTCAGAAAATTCTAGACTCCAACTGCCATTTTCAGTCTCTCCACGAGACTGGCACGAGCCTGTTTGGCAGAGCTCAGTACTGAAGCTGCGAGTGCAGTGTGACACAGGTGAATCTGAGTCTCTGGGCTTTCTGCCCGCGTGCGGGCGGCTTTTTTCTCTAACAGTTCTTTAGTGTATGATAGTTTTTAATTTTAGTTAGTTTAAGTTTTTTTACTAGTTATATATATATTTTTGGGTGGGGTGGGGGCAGGGTGGGGTGGGGTGGCCATACCTGGCTGTGCCCAGGGGTGACCCTGGCCAGCTAACGTCCCTGTGCTGCCGGAGATCGAGCCCAGGACAACTGGATATAAGGCAAGTGCCCTCCCCACTGTCCTGCCTCTCTGCCCCTTGTGGACTTCTCTATTGAAATATGGAATGACTCTGAAGTCAGTGGGCCCTCATGGGGGGCTGATGAGAAGCAGAGGAGAAGATATCACTCCCCCGGGACTGGCTGGAGCGCTGGCACTGCTGAGTGCAATGAGCCCCGCCAGCCCCACGACGCCCACTAGGCCTTCCCGGGGTCTTGGGCCGGAGTGAGGGGTTGCCATTTTCAGGGAAAGGGAGTCGATCCTCGACCTCCTCAGGCCCCAGGGCCTTTGTCCTCCTCGCAGAAAAGCATATCAGGAGATGATCATGAAGCAGAAACATTTTATTTGGAGGCCTTTAGGAAGGGGAAGGAGGGAGGGAGTAACACGCTCGAGAGAGAGTGCGGCTTCTCCAGAGGTGCAGATAGCCACTGAACATATTATGTTGCTAGGTTACATTCGGTCTGAAAGTCCACACCTCAGGAGGGGAGAAGCCCGTGACATGACGGACTTCATAGGCAAGAGCAGTACCTGGGCTCGGGCACACATGAGCGCCCTCCCTTGGTTCAAGGTGGCAATCTAGGGATTTCCCCAGGCTGCCACAGGTGGGAGTTTCTAGCTACCTAGAGTCCGTTGCTAGGGTGGTTGCCAAGGGGGTAGAGTTGAGTGGTCCATGCATGGTCCTCTTAGAAATTCCTTTCCTGCCCTTTGTTCCTATTCCCTCGGGGGGTCCAGCCTGCTCTGGGCCTCATAATGTGGGTTAATTTTGACAAGACCTTGGGTCCCGTGCACTCAGGTAGTCTTTTGGTGGCCATGAAGCTTTTGTTGACTTTCTCGGAGTTCCATCGCCATGGGGACGCTTCCCCCATCTACCTGTCTGCCTCAGTTCTGTGGGTTAAGAAATGGAGTTAATACTGGCTTGTGGTTATCCAACCTGGGCAGCGTCACAAGGAATGAAGGAAACGCCGAAAACTCCTTCGCTCCCCTTTGGCTCAATTTTTTTTTTCTTTTTGGGTCACACCTGGTGATGCACAGTGTTTACTCCTGGGTTTGCACTCGGGAATCACTCCTGGCAGTGCTTAGAGGACCATATGGGATGCTGGGAATCGAACCTGGGTCAGCCGCGTGCAAGGCAAATGCCTTTCCCAGTGTGCTATCGCTCTCCAGCCACCCATGGCGAAGTCTTGCTGGGTCTTTTTCCCTGGCAGTTCTCAGCCCATAGAAAAAAGTGTGCCTGTTGCTTGCCTTAGCTTCTACGTGTAACCCCGGGCCTCTCACACATGTACATACGCACACACGCACACACAAGACCAGCCATCACTGCTGAGTCGCCTGCCGGCTCGTCAGTGTCTGGACGGGGAGGTGGTCAGAGACACTCGCGGTGCTCAGGGATGATTTCTGGCTCCTGAATGTGTTTGGTGGTGGGAGTGATGGCAGGGAGGGCGTGAGGGTCAGTTGCCTGCAGGGCAAGTACCTGTCCCCTCTGCTCTCTGGCCCCGAATCGGCAGTTGTTTGTTTGTCTGTTTTGGATTGAGTTTTTGCGCAGGAATGGCACTTGGTGGGCTCAGGGGGCTGTGCGGGAGACTGGGGGTCGCACTCGGGGTGGCGAGTGCCAGACTGGCAGCTGTCTGGGCTCCGGAAGCTGCTGTGGTCGCTCGCCTGAGACAGACTCTCTCCTCTGCTCTTCAGAGATTTAGTCCTGAGAACGAGTGTGCCTCAGAAGGCCCCAAAGTGGGCTCGATGGTCGGGGCCTGGTAGTGGCCGCGGCAGCGTCTGACCGCCTGACCATGAGTCTGCTGAGGCCCAGCGGGCTGAAGGCCCCCACCAAGATCCTCAAGCATGGGAGCTGGGCCCTGAAGACACCCTCGGCCGGTAAGTGCGCTCAGCCCAGGCCAACGGAGACTCATTCCCACCCGGGAACCCCATCCCGAGTCCTCGCCCGGGAAGGGCTCCCTGAGCTGTAGACACGTCCGTGGCTCTGGGGACAGCTCTCACACACGAGTGTCACGTTCTGTGAGTTTAGTGTCACGGCAACCGGTGACAGCTGAGGCGACCAACCCGCTCCCTTCTAACTGCTAGCTCCCTGGCCCGGGCTTGGGGACAGGCTTAGGGAGGTGGACTCACCTGGACTAGAGGGCCTCATTGGCGGCCAAAGCCACAGTACAGCGGGGAGGGCAACTGGCACCCCATGTGACTCTCCACCCTCAACCTCACCATGAGTAACCCTGAACGGAGAAACAGAAATAGGCCCTGAGCATTGGCTGGGTTGCTCCCCGCCCAAAAGAAAAAGAAGATGGGCCAGTGGACATAGCAGAAATAAGACACTGGGTTCGAGCTTTCACCTGGCTTGGTCCGTAGTATCACGGGGTGTATCCAAAGATTTCCCTGAGCTGCCCAAAGTATGACTGCGGCCTGGGATGCTGCGGTAGGTGAGCACGTCCGCTTCACGGCTGGCCCGGCCAGGCTTCGCCACAAGCAGCCCCCGTCATTGGCTGGGAGTAGCCACGAGCACTGCTGGGTGTCCCTCTCCCCCAACCACACTTTAACTGCACCTGCACAGGCCCTTCCTGTCCCTTCTGACCCTTTTGACCCTTTCTGCTGTTCCAGCGGCTGCTCCCGTTGAGATGACCGTGCCTGGGGAGAAAAACCCCAGCGCCCCCTCCTCGGAGATGCAGGAGGAGTTTGTGGGCGACTTCCAGGTCGGGGAACGAGTCTGGGTGAACGGGAACAAGCCTGGATTCATCCAGTTCCTCGGGGAGACCCAGTTTGCCCCTGGTCAGTGGGCCGGGATCGTCTTGGACGAGCCCATCGGCAAGAACGACGGCTCGGTGGCGGGTGTGCGCTACTTCCAGTGCGAGCCCCTGAAGGGCATCTTCACCCGGCCGTCCAAGCTGAGTAGGAGCTTGCAGGCCTACGATGAGACCAACTGCCGGCGGCCAGCGCCTGCCGCCTGGGCCACACCGCCCCTGTCGGCCTCCCCGGCCCTTGCCGGCACCACGAAGGTGCCCCAGTCCCCCGCGAAGGAGTCACCGGCCACCCCTCACATCAGCAGCCTGACCAGGACGGCCAGCGAGTCCATCTCCAACCTCTCTGAGGCTGGCTCCCTCAAGAAAGGGGAGCGGGAGCTGAAGCTCGGGGACCAGGTGCTGGTGAGTGCCGAGGGCAGCGGTCGCGGGTGGCTGTCCATTCGCCTGTCTGGTTCATCAGTTCCTCCAGACTCGCGCTTTGGGTGGAAGAAAGGAGTAGCCGGGACGCCTGGTCCTGCAGTTTCCAGCGTGATGGATGCGTGCGGGGATGCTGCCAGTTTTACCAGTTTAGCCAAAACAGGGTGGAGGGGTCATGCCGTGGGGAGGGGTCATGCCTTGCACGCCTCTGACCCGGGGTTTAAATCTTGGTCCCATGTACAGTCCCCCAAGCACATCCCGGAGTGATCCGTGAGCACCAAGCCAAGAGTAAGCCCTGAGCACTCTGAATGTGACTCAAAAACAAACCAATGAACAAAGTTGGAAATCGGTTCTATTTCTCTGGTTTTCGATGTTTTTGCTTGGGGCGTCACAGGGTGGTCGCACACAAAGCCAGTGCCCTTCCCCCGGTGCTCCAGCCCTGTTTGTCAGCATTCCTGTCAGTGTCCAGCGCTGTGATTCTGTTTTGCTCTGTGTCCCGGGAGCCAAGCGTCAAGCCAAGGCATAGTGAAGGAGAACTGGAAGATCGAACTCTGCTAAGATACGAGAACAGTCATTTTCCTTTAGCTGGTTTCTGGCTTAATTGTTCTCCAGCGGTGGGGTTGCCAGTGCTCCGCTCCCACACCCAAGGGGCAGCGACCCCCTCGCCACACCAGGTGGCTGGCCTGGGTCAGAGATTCCCGGGAGTGTGGTCAGCCAGGCCACCAGTGACAGCGAGTGGGTGTGAATGCCGCTGCCTTGCATGGACACTGAGCAGCAGCGTCTGCTCACCCTGTAGGCGTTGCGGGGGGAAATGGCACTTTGACCTTTGGGGTTTCTTCAGGAAATCCCGACTCTGAAGCCAGAATGTTCGTTTGCGGGGGTGGGGGCGCTGTGCGCAGTCCAGGGTGCCTGACCCACGTCCCTCCATCCCTCCAGCAGGTGGGAGGCATGGAGGCCCGTGTGGTGCGCTTCCTCGGGGAGACAGACTTCGCCAAGGGGAATTGGTGCGGCGTAGAGCTGGACAAGCCACTGGGCAAGAACGATGGTGCCGTGGCCGGAACGAGGTGGCTCCCCCTGCCCCCCTAGACAGCCTGGGGCCATGCACGGTGCCCGGGAGGCGCTGAGGGGACTGCAGGCCACTTCACTTGGTTCTTAGGCGGGGCCACTTCCGGTGGCACTCGGGTACCTTGCAGGGATGTGGTTACAGCCTGGGGCCCCCATATGCAGCTGTACTTGGGCCGCAGGAACCCCCCGGGCCTGCTGTCACCCTTCAGATGCCGGGGAGGCTGCTTGGAATCGCCCTTGATTTGCGTGGTGGGGGTGGGCGGCATGCGAGCGAGTGTGGGTGTGAATGTATGAGGGAGTGTGTATGTGAGCGTGTGAGTGTGGGGCTGTGAGAGTGTTGGTGGGGTCGTGGGCATGAGAGTGTTGGTGGGGGTGTGAGCGTGTTTGTGGGGGAATGAGAGCGTGTCAGTGTTGGTTTGAGAGCGTGCAAGTGTTGGTTGGGGTGTGCGTGTGTGTTACTGTGGGGCTGTGGGTGTGTGGAAGTGTTGGTTGGGGTGTGAGTGTGTGTGGGTGTGGGAGTGTCGGTGGGGTGTGAGTGTGAGTGTGTGTTGGTTTGGGTGTGAGTATGTGTGTTTCTGGGGAGTGAGTGTGTGTGAGTGTGGGGCTGTGGACATGTGGGAGTGTCTGTTGGGGTGTGAGTGTGTGTGTTTGATGGGGTGGGAGTGTGAGAGTATGGGAGTGTTGGTTGGGGTGTGAGTGTGTTTGTTGGGCTGTGAGAGTGTGGAAGTGTGGGAGTGTTGGTTGGGGTGTGAGTGTAAGTGTGTGTTGGTTGTGGTGTTTATGTGTGGGAGTGTTGGCTGGGGTGTGTGTGTATGTTAGGTTGTGAGTGTGTGTGAGTGTGGGCTGGTGGAGGGTATGATGTTTGTTGGGGTGTTAGTGTGAGTGTGTTTGTTGGGGTGGGAGTGTGAGAGTGTGGGAGTGTTGTTTGGGGTGCGTGTGTGAGTGTGTTTGTTGGGGTGTGAGTGTGTGGGCATGTGGGGCTGTGGGAGCGTGTTCGTTTGTGGGGGTGTGAGACTGTGGGACTCAGTGGACTTCTGGGTCGGCGCTTGTGTCTCTTGCCGAAGGTGTTTTTGTCCCCCCCTCCTCATTGTCCGCAGGTACTTCCAGTGTCAGCCCAAGTATGGCTTGTTTGCTCCCATTCACAAAGTCACCAAGATCGGCTTCCCGTCCACGACGCCGGCCAAGGGCAAGGTGGCCACCGTGAGGCGTGTGATGGCCACCACCCCCGCCAGCCTGAAGCGCAGCCCTTCGGCCTCCTCGCTCAGCTCCGTCAGCTCCGGGGCCTCATTCGAGAGCAGCAGACCCGGCCGCACGGGACTAGTAAGCAGCCCCCCACCACTGCGGGGTGCTCGGGTCCCCACAGAATCCCACAGCCCCAGGGGCGAGAGGCGGAGCAGGAGCACGTGGGCTGAGCAGCTCCGGGTGGCAGGCGAGTGGCTTCTCAGCCACCACCAGTGACAGGAGCAGGGATGGGCCTTTCCTGGGGTGCTCAGGGCTCCTCTCTGGCCTCAGGCCACCTTAGGGATGAAGTGGGGTAGCTGAAGGGGTGCCTGAGTGTCAGAGCGGGGCCCAGAGACTCTGGGGAACGCTTGGCCCTTCATCTTGCTTCTTTGCTCTCTCCGTCTCTCCCTGCTCCCTCCTGTCCCTCTGCACCGCTGTCCACATGCAGAGTGGCCTCGACTTCTGTCCATTGCGGTGCCGCAATTCAAAGCTGGGGCCTCGTGGCTTCTCCCCTCACGTCTATCTGAGTCATAAACACTAAAGTGTGTCTGAATATGCAAGGGTGCCCTGAGATATTGTCCACAGGGAAACGGGCCCACGATGGAGAGGGTGTCCCGGGGGGCTGGCTTTGCTGGGGGCTGCGCTTCCTGCCGCCGCCTCTGCTCCGTGCTATTGACCCTCGATGCGGAAGAGGAGGGAGTGAGTGTGTGTGCAACAGAAGATACAAAACAGATGACACGGGAACGGGAGCCAGGAGGCCACGTGCCGTGGGCACAGGCCTGGGGCCAGTCCTGTCTTGCTCGACCACCACCAGGTTTCCCTGCCCCACGTGCATCCTCACGTCCGACTCCTCCTTCCCTTCGCCTCACCATTTAGGAGGAGAGCAGACTCAGAAGCCCCTCTCCTTCCCTCGCGAACCAGCCCATTTGTGGAATTTGGTTTTGTTTTTCTGCTTGACTGTGGGCTATACCCTACAGTGCTTCAAGGGGCCGTTTGCAGTGCTGGGGTTTTGCCGGTGCCTCCCACCTCCAAGCAAGAGCCCTACGCCTGAGACGTATCTCCAGCCCCCCCCCCCGCTATCTTGTTTTGTTCTGTTTTGGGGTCACACTTGGCAGAGCTCAGGGCTTTCTCCCACCTCTGTGCTCGGGATTATTCCTGCCGGGCCTCCAGGATTGACCCTGGGCAGCGCTGGGGCTTCGCTCTCCAGCTCTTTGGCCCCTGCCTTGCATATCTTTATGCAGGGTGGAGCTCACTCCTAAACTGAACATCACCGTTAGCGTCTATGACAGGAATATAGAAAGATTCTGTGTGACTTCACGGAAGTATACCTTGACAACATAATTCCATAAGTGCACACACAAGCGTTCATACACACAGTCACTCATACATGTACACATAGTGCATACCGTATATACACAGGCTTATGGGTATACACACACAGGCACATACATGCATAAACACAACGCGCGCATGCACACAGGAACATACATGCACGCATACATACATGCACACGGGTCCGTGCGTGCCCTGTGGAGGCAAGAGAACCTGCGGCTGGACCGCAGCAGGGCGATGGAACAGGGATGGCCGGGCAGAAGGAGCGGAAGTCCTGGCCATCGCCGCTGCAGCCCCCCGCCACCATGTGCCCGAAGAATGAAGATCAGGTCCCGCCTTGTCCCCTCCTGCAGGGGCCGTTGTGCAGAGAGGGATCTGGGTCTGCAGAGCAACATGAGTGACCACGAGCCCAGGATAGAACGGACAGGACCCCCGGTCCCCGCAGCCCTTCAGCCCACTCCCCTCCCCTCCTCACTGTCTTTGCCTCTTCTCTCCTTCCCTTTGTGCTTGGTCTTTCCCTGAGCTGCCCTTGCTGTCCTGCTCGCTGGGCGTGAGCCCTCACACATTCGAACCCACCACTTTTTCCTTTTTTTTCCCCCGGACTTTGGCCATGCCCCAGCAATACTCAGGACTTACTCTGGACTCTGCACTCAGGAGTCACTCCTGGTGAGCTCGGGACCCTATGGGGTGGGTACCTGTAATCCAGCTCAGGTCAGCGGCGTGCAAGGCCAGCGCCTTTCCCGCAAGTTTATCATTCTAGCCTCTCATCTTCCATTTTCGAAGGCAGATGGCAAAGGGGTCTTTTATAGGGTCACACCCAGTGACCCCTGGGGGCACGGGGCCATTCCCAGAGACAAGAGTCTCTGGTTACTGCTATTCAGGCATGGGGCGGGTGCCCGGGAGAGCGAGGTGAGCTGGAAGGAAGAGGAAGAGAGAAGGGACAGGCTGCCCAGGGAGACCCTGACGGACCTGCAAGGCTGAAGATGCTGGAGCCGGCCTCAAGCTCAAGCCAAGGGCTCAGCCTTAAGGAAGCTCAGGCCAGAGCGGGCTGTGGAGGGGGCTGCCTCCGGCTCTGCAGAAGAGTCTCTGGATTCCCACGAGGCCCGAGATCAGTGGAGCCCAGTTCCCGTCCAAGGATCTTCGGGAAGGTTTCATGACGTTTCTGCTGAGAGTCGCTGGCCCATATGCAAGGATGCAGCACTGCTCCATGTGCTTTGCCGAGGATCACCGCGAGCATGCCCGTGTCGGCCGGCCCCATCCCCTTCACGTCTCTTTTTCCTTTGCAGTTGCCGGAAACCTCCTCCCGCTACGCCCACAAGATCTCTGGCACCACCGCCCTCCAGGAGGCGCTGAAGGAGAAGCAGCAGCACATTGAGAAGCTGCTGGCCGAGCGGGACCTAGAGCGGGCGGAGGTGGCCAAGGCCACGAGCCACATGGGGGAGATAGAGCAGGAGCTGGCCCTGGCCGGAACGGGCACGACCAGGTGACGTCTGTGCAGACGGCAGTGCCGGGGCCGAGAGACGCCTGCGGTAGAGGCTGGGCGCGAGCTTGGTGCAGGCGGTGCAGGCAGAGGCCGTGGGTCCCCGTCTGCCGTCGTTGCGGTGGCGTCCGGCGCGTGGTTTGATCGCATGCGCCTTCTGCTCGCCCTGTGGGGGTTTAGGGAGTGCCGAGTTGTCCGCGCCGGTGCTTTCGTGGTGTGGTTCCCCTCTGGCCTTCCAGAAATGCCGTAGCTTAGGTGGGAGATCCATTCAGCTTGCCGTGGTGACAGGTGGCGATGCCAGCCCACAGAGGGCTGTTGGGGGCGGGCGAGGCCACTCACGCGCCATTGCCTCTACAGCACGTTCTGGAGCTGGAGGCCAAGAACAATGAGCTGCGGGCCATGCTGGAAGCGACCGACTGGGAGAAGGTGGAGCTGCTGAACCAGCTGGAGGAGGAGAAGAGATGAGGCCGTGCCCGGAGCTGGGGGCTCCCTCGGCTGGGGCACTCCTGGCCTTCCAGGGCTGTGAGAACCAGAAACCAAAGGGTGCCCAGTCCTGAGCGCGGCCTCACCGGGAGGGCTGGGGGGGGAGCTCAGTGGAGCCAAGCCACCCCCGGCCCTCCCTGCTGTGTCCACCTGGCCTGGTATTCAGGAGGCCTGTGCTGGGTGGCAAGGAACTGTCCTAACCCAGTGGGCCCTGTGGGAGTCCCTGTGGTTAAGTCCCAGGCGGGAGGAAACCCACAGTACTCATGGGGCACGACAGCCGACAGACAGGGCTCAGGGTAGGCTGCAGACAGACGGACGTGGTGCTCAGGCCGGGGTGCAGACAGACGGACGCGGGGCTGAGGCCTGGCCGCAGACAGATGGACACGGGGTGCTGGCCGAGACCGCCTTTTCAGATGGGCTCCCGGCAGTGTGGTGCCCAGGGGCACTGCCAGTGCCTGGCTCAGCCCCTCAGCTCCACGTGCCGACTCGACAGTCACTGGGAGCCCCTCCTCTCCCCGCCCCCGAGTCGTTGGCTGCTTCTCCCCCAGGGGCTCAGTTGTTGTCCCAATGTGGGGACAGGCGCTGGCTGCGAGGGACTGGCATGCGCCGCGGGTCAGTTTTTAACCACCTCTGTTAGCTGCAAGGCAGAAAGGGTTGATATGACACTGCACCTGGCGTTGGCTCGGCCTAGCTTCCTCCTGTAGCCTGTGGGTCCCACCCAGTGTTCGAGGCTGAGGGGACTCGCTGACTTTCTTTTTTTTCTTTTTGGGTCAACCCAGCGATGCTCAGGGGTTACTCCTGCCTCGGAACTCAGGAATTACTCCAGGCATTGCTCCGGGGTCCATAGTGGTATGCTGGGAATTGAACCCGGGTCGGCCACGTGCAAGACAAACGCCCTGCCTGCTGTACTCTCGCTCTGGCCCTCCCCGACTCTCTCAGCCCTCCTGTGTGTGGAGCCGGGGGCTGGGTCAGGCGCATCTACAAGATGGTGGCCCTCATGGGGGGCAGCAGTGACGCCCCTCACAACGTCTCCCTCTCCCCCACAGGAAAGTGGAAGACCTCCAGTTCCGAGTCGAGGAGGAGTCCATCACCAAAGGCGACCTGGAGGTAAAGCCCGGGCAGGTCCCGGAGGCTTGCAGGCTGCAGGCAAGGATGCGGGGCGGCCTGGCCGACCCCGCCGGGACCACTTCTGCTGGAGACTCCAAATCAGACAGGGATACCTGGGGTCATGCACCTGGCAGGGCCCGGCTGACACATCTCTGCTCCTTGGGGCTGGAGGCTGCTCTTGATGAGCGTTTTTCTCTCGTTCTGACAGTCGGGTCTATGCCTTTGCCTCAGCTTTGATTTTCAGTCGAGCAGCACAAATCAAATCCTTTAGAACCCCATTTTTGGGAAGCTTTTCCTTAAAACAAGAAGAAGCAAAGAGTCAGTTTGGAAAAGAAAAATTTCTATTTCTGCTTCTTTTCCTTCCTGCTTTAAGTTCATGGAAATTTTGTTTTCCCACCAGAAGGAGGTGAAGTCCCTGCAGGCGGCCTCTGAGAAGCTCGCCAAGGAGAACGAGTGCCTGAGGACCAAGCTGGACCATGCCAACAAGGAGAACGCGGACGTGATCGCCCTGAGGAAGTCCAAGCTGGAGACGGCCATCGCCCCGCACCAACAGGCCATGGGCGAGCCGAAGGCATCCGTGAGCCAGGGGGCGGGCACCGAGGCGGCCGAGCTGGCCGAGCTCAAGATGCAGATCGAGAGGCTACAGTTCGAGTACCAGCAGGAGGTGGAGAGCCTGAAGGCCCAGCAGGCGGCTGAGCGTGCAGCGCACGCCTCTGAGCTGAAGACGCTCAGGTCGCGGCTCTTCAGGACGGCCCAGGAGCAGAAGAACAGCCTGGAGGCCGCAAGGGCCAAGCTCGACCAGATTGAGGACCAGCACCTGGTGGAGATGGAGGACGCCCTGAACAAGCTGCAGGAGGCGGAGACGAAGGTAAAGCACCTGGACGGGTTGCGGGCCGTGTGTAGTCAGCAAGCCCAGGCCCTGGCCAATGCCACGGCACAGCTGGAGGCCACCCAGCAGAAGCTCTTGCAGCTCGATGGGCTCTGGAAGGCCAGTTCCGAAGGTCAATTGGGAATGGAGAAGCTCAGGCAGCAGCTCCAGGTGGCTGAGCGGCAGATTCAGGAGTTAGAGAATGCAAAGCGGGCCGAGAGCTGCAGGTTGGTACTCAGGCGCCCTCGCCCACTTCCACGCTCGCTCCCTGCATGCTGTGTGTCAGTCTGCTCGCCGCCGTGTTCCGGCTTGGTGCTGACAGGTCTCCCGGTCACGTCCCGTGCGGTTCCCTCTGAGGGGACTGAGAAGGTGTCGGCACGATTCTGGGGCTGTCATTGGTTCCCAGCATCTGGATGCCGTGCTAGCCTTGGCCCCGGCTAATCGGGCCCGTCTGGGGTCTTTCTGAAACAGAGAATTCTTCACGAGGCCAGTGAGAAAACAAGATAGGAGCCCCCAGAGCAAACTCTGCCCCCGCCCCTTGGGCCCGCTGCATACTCGCCGAGTTCGCCCAAACACTTGGACTCGAGTCAGGCCACGAGGGTCTTTCACTGACCTTGCTGACCACCTGCTCGTGTGACGGGCTTTGCCCTCCTCTCCCCGGGGCGCCTCAGTTCCCAGCTGGTGCTCGATGCCTCTGAGCCTCTGAGCTCCCTCAAGGCTGGTGACGTGGCCCATCTTGGTATTTCTCATTGCCAGCCCCTCCCTCCCTGCAGCACAAGCCCCCACCCAGCCCTGCAGAGATTTCATCCCTTTCAGCCTCTAAGGGGTGCTTGGGCCAAGTCCGCCTTCCCGCATGGCCCTCTGCTGGCCACGGGCATGGACTCTCATTGTAGCCCTGACCCTGGGGAAGGACGAGACAGTGAGATCTGGGCCAAGCAGAGGAAGCTGCAGTTCTCACCAAGGACCCTCGAGAAATGCCCTTTTCCTCCTATAGGATTGTCGTGGCAGGGACGCTCCCTCACCCCCAGCGCCCCCCGCGCTGGGCACTTTGTTGGAGAAACTTCTCTGTTGGCCAAGATGGAAGGGCTGTGGGCTTTGTAGACAGGACTGACAGACATAACAGAAGGGCCCTGAGACCCCCGGGAGTTCCTCTCAGGACTCAGGACTCCTTGGCTGGCTTTCCAGAAACACTGGCTGAAACAAATGGAATCAATTCCTAGGACACAGCAGGGGATAGCTGACCCACTTGTTCGCATCAAGATGTAACAAACGTCAAGTTCTGGTGACTGCTGTCTAGTGGATTAGAGGGTCTTCATTTTAAATTTCATATTGAAACCCCTCAAACTTTTAAAGTCACAGAAAAGAAACTACAAGGAAGTAAATCTTGGGGGCCGGAATGATAGTACAATGGGAAGGGCATTTGCCTTGCACGCGGCCCACGTGGGTTCGATCTCCATCATCCCATAGGGTCACTGTCATTGTCTCTACCCTCCCGTTGTTTATCGATTAGCTCGAGCTGACCCAGTAACGTCTCCATTGTGACACTTGTTACTGTGTTTGTCATATTGAATACGTCACGGGGAGCTTGGCAGGCTTTGCCGTGCAGGCGAGATACTCTCAGTGAGCTGGCCGGGTTACTGCCAAGGAGAAATTCCTGAGCACTTAGGGTGACCTAAAAGGACAAAAGAGAAAAAAAAAAAGATATCCTTTTCTTCCCTTCCTCCCCTCCCTTTCCCTTTCTTCCCTGTTTCCTCCCTCCCTCTTTCCTATGCTTAGCCTCCCTCCTCCCTTGCTTACTTCCCCCATTGGTGCTGCAGTTCCAACTCGGGCCTGGTGTATACTCCAGTCCTTTGTGCCGTCTCCTCGCCCCTGGAAAGTCAGTCTTTCTCAAAGGCTTTCTTATTTTCTGGTCACGCCAAAGTTAGGTCTAGAAAACGCCTCTGTTTGGGCCGTTTTCAATAACCACTAGACAGTCATCACCAGAACTGCCGGCGCCAAGGCCTTGGCTTCACGAGCTTCAGGCAATCACACTCACCTCACACCTCTGTTCTTCGGGGTTGTGTTGGGTCATGGGCTTCTCATACGTGTTTTCTGTTTTGTTTTCCCCTTCCCATTCCTGTTTGTCTCCTTGGTCCATTCACTCCATCCTTGTGACTCTGGTAGGCCGATAGCCTGGCCGAAGAGCTGCAGGGGAAGGGGCTAGCGCTTCGTAGTCTTCAGGAGAACTTGAACGAAAGCGGCCGAGCTGAGGGGCCGTGTGTGCGCGCGTGTGTGTGTGCATGTGTGTTTTTTGTGTGCATGCTGGTGAGCAGAGCAGAGGGGCCGTGTGTGTGCGGGTGTGTATGTTTGTGTGTTTGCGTTGTGTGTGTGTGTGTGTGTGCTCGTGTGTGTGCGTGTGTGCTGGGAGCGGGCAGGGGGCCGGCTGCTGACGGTGGCCCCTGGCTCCCCGCAGGAGGAGAAGGTGGACGTGAGCCGCAGCCAGTGCCAGGCTCTGCAGGCCGAGCACACCAAGGCCAGCGTGGAGATCCAGGGGCAGCACGAGGAGGCGCTGCAGGCCCTGCAGAAGCTGCTGCTGCAGGCGAAGGAGAAGCTGCAGGCAGCGGAGGCGGAGAACGGGAGCCTGCTGCGACAGGTGGCCTAGCTGAAGTCGCAAGCCGATAAGGCCAAGGTGGGTGGGCGCAGGGCAGCGCCGCGGCTGATGGCGGCCGTCTCGGGGTCGGGCTCTGTTGGGGGGCCTTGGCCTGCAGCCGCAGACACTTCCCCCACCCGGCGGCGGCTGTGAGAGCAGGAAGGGGGTTGCTCCCGGGGCGCCCGGCAGAGCATGCGGAAGCCCAGGGACCCCAGCTTGGGTTTTCCGTTTTGTTTTGAGCTTGTTCAGTACGTTCAGGCCTTCGTGTTTTCACTTGATTGCTCAAAGGCATTTTTTAGTGTGTATCAGAGAAATGTTAAGGTTTGAGGCTCAGTGGAGAGAAATAGAGCGGCTGGAACTAAGGCAGCAAGAGGGCACTTGCTGTGCACGTGACCCACCGGGGATCCCCAGCATCCCCCATGGTCCCCCAAGCACCCAGGAGGAAGCCGTGACCTCTTCCGGGTGTGAACCCCAAAACAAAAAGGAAAAGAATGTACACACACATATATGTGTGTACATACATAACATGTACCTATGTGTCCATCTTTATATACATACAACAAGTGCATTTGAATACATATGTACGTATTTGGATACATTTTTAGTTTTACATGCTTTATATCATGTATAGTTTATATATTAATGTGTATGCGTATACATATATGTGCTTGTATGTATATGTGTGTATACATATCTATAAGCCAATGGAAAGAAAACGGAAGCGGGGTTACATCAGAGGAAACCAGGGCTGCTGAGTGGCGGCCGTGGCCTGTGTGTGTGTTGGTGCCCGGCCTCTTTCCACCACGCACCGCAGCCAGGGCTACGTCTCCTCTCTGGACCACGTGCACGGCCCAGTTCTGTGGCCAGCAGCCTCGTGTGCATGCTCAGGTCAGTCCCATTCCGGTAACATGGCCGTCAGCGGTCAGCTGCCCAGCACACACCAGTAGCCTGCTGCGGCTCATGGCTGCTGAGCTGGACAGAGAAGATAGCCCTTGCTGCAGAAAGTTCTGGAAAGTACATGGCGGTTCAACTGTGGTGTGCATTGAGACTCAGAAATGAAAACGCACAACCCGTTGCTGACGGGCAGGGAGAGCAGGTGAGGGAGACCCTGACCCGTGTGCGGCCAGTCCTCCTGGAGCCCCTGGGACCCTCCCAAATGACTGCAAACACTGCCCTCCCATTGCTCATCGATTGGCTCGAGCGGGCCCACTAATGTCTCCATTTTGAGACTTGTTACTGTGTTTGGCAAGCAAAAACTGTTGGCTTCAGTCTCCAAAGCTTGGTGGATTCGTCTGGATTTTCTATAAAGTGTATAACTTTGGGGACTAAGTCCATTTCCTGCCTCTGTTTGTCCCTGTGAAAATCGTTTGACAAGCAGTGGTTGCTTTTCCCTTCCCCTCCTGCACAAAGTTCCAAAACAAAATACTTTTTGTAGTTCTTTGAATTGTATTGAAAACTAGTTTTTGAATGCATCCCTTCTAGGACAGAGTGATGGATTTTATAATAGAAGAATTGTAGTGGGGGGAAAAAATCTTATGCCCCAATGTCAAGATCCAACTGTACTTACACCTTCCGGGAAGCTGTCAGGAATCATTTCAGACGGCATTTCAAAAATCAAATCGGCTGATAGTAGAATGGGTAGGGTTCTGCCTTGTACTCGCCAACCCGGGGTTGATCCCCAGCATCCCGTATGGTCCTCCGGCCCTGCCAGCAGTGATCCCTGAGCACAGAACCCTGAGCGAGACCCGAACACCAGCAGGTGTGGGGCCCCCATCCACAAAATAGGCAGGTAGTTATGTTGACGCTAAGAAGCTAACTGTGTTTGAGCCTCTCCATCCTGAGTCTGTGTGTGCGTGTGTGTGAGTGTGTGCGCGTGCGCGTATACACGCGTGTGCAGGTAAGACTACTCTGCCATTTTCATTTCTGGTATTTAGGCCACATGAAGTGCTTGGCTTGCTTGTGCCTGCTTGATCTCATTCTTGTTTCCATTCTTCCCCGCTTTTTGTTTCTGCAGTCCTTAACTTGCTTATTAAGCTCGGCCAAAGAAGAGATGGAGCTGATGTCAGAGGATCGCAGGGCCCTGAGGTCAGAGAATGAATTGCTGGCGAAGGAGAAGAGCTGTCTGAAGTCCGAGAGAGGGTGGTTTCAATTGAAACTCAGAGAAGCGGAGGCCAAAATCTCTTCTCTGCGGGAAGAGCAGAGGAAGTTCTGGCTGTTGAACCAAGCGATTCGCTTGGATAAGGAGAAGGTCATCGAGGCCAGGTGGGCAGCCGAGAAGCTCTGCCAGCAGGAGCGGCTGGACCGAGAAGCCCTCGAGGCGGAGAAAGAGAAAGTGCTGGAAGAGGGCAGGGCGGTGCAGGAGGAGCTCCAGAGGGTGGGCGCGGAGAAGGACGCACTGCAGGTCGCCAAGCTGGGGCTGCAGGCCCTGGTGGAGGAGCTGCAGATGAGCAAGAGCAGCCTGGTGGCCGAGTGTAACAAGGGCCTGGAGGAGAGGGGCCAGCTGGAGGAGCATGTCAAGAAGCTGGTTCTGGAGAACGTATCCCTGGCCAAGGACAAGGACAACATCATCCAGAAGCTGCAGTGCTCCTACGAGTAGCTGGCTCGGGATCAGAAGTCGCTGGTGCAAGAGATCGAGGAGCTCACGGCTGAGAAGGAGGAGGCCGCCCGCGTGGAGTCGGCCCTGCGTGAGCAGCTGAACAGCCTTGGCTCTGAGAAGGAGCTGCTGGGCCAGAAGGCCACGAAGCTCCAGCGGCAGCTGCACTGGCTGCTGAAAGACCAGGCACTGCTGGAGGCGCAGCAGACCGAGCTGCTGGCCGAGCGGGAGGCGTCCCTGCAGGCCCTGGTCCCTGGAGGACACCAGGAACACCAATGCGATGATGCAGAGTAAGGTGGGTGATGGTAGTGACCAGGGCTGTGTAGGCCCAGCCTCAGCCCTGAGAGAAACCATATCCTGGGCCATAGTGATAGCACAGTGGGGAGGGCGTTTGACTTACACACCGAATTCCCAGGTTCAATCCCCGGCATCCCATATGGTCCCCTGAGCACCGCCAGGAGTAATTCCTGAGTGCAGTTGTAGGTGAGCCAGTGCCCTCTGACCTCACAGCCACACTTTCCTGGGCTCGAGTGACTGCTGACAGCCTGAGCTGTTCCACCCTAGCCAGGAGTGATCCCTGAGCATAGAGCCAGGGTTTAGTCCCTACCCCACCGGGTGTGGCCCCCAAACAAACCAAACTGACTACCCACAAAGGTTCTAGATAAGCATGTATACATACACAGACATGTATATATGTATATATGCGTGTATGCTTCAAAAGAGTCGGGGAATATCTACCATTTAAAATATCCGAGAATGATGCCGGAGCAATAGCATAGCAGGTAGGGTGTTTGCCTTGCACATGGCCAACCCAGGTTCCATCCCCGGCATCCCATATGGTCCCCGAAGCACCGCCAGGAGTACTTCCTGGGTGCAGAGCCTGGAGTCACTCCTGAGCAATGCCGGATTGTGACACAAAAAGCCCCCTCCCCAAATGGTTCATTAAAATAACAGAAGCCAAAAAGAGGGAAGCTGAGGAAGAAGGGGCTGTGCTCCCCTGGCGCCCATGAGAACCAGGGGCCACGCACATGCTGCCGGAACCCCACCCCCACACGCTCCCAGCACAAGAGGTGATGCTTAAGGAGTGAGAGGCCCCATGGACAAGGACACATCCCTTCAGTCAAGGGGTCATGTCCTTGCCAGAGCCCTCCAATGCCCTGCCTCTTGCTGCTCTCCCAGAACCTGGGCTTCGGGCTCCCATCAAATTGGCAAATCTTCACTTTGCCAGAGTCGAACACCACTTTGGAGGGCTTCTTCCCTGCCAGGAAGGTTCAGTCGCAAACGGAAACGCCCACCAGCATGTGGCTTTTCCAGCCTCATTGCGCATGCTCTAGGCCCAGAGCTGGGGGAGTCTGGTCCTCTGGGCTGCCTTCCTGCTTCTTGCTCCTGTCGAGGGAGACAGCTGGGTGGGGTCCTCTGGGGTTTGCACACTTGGCTGCAGTCCAGTGCCCGCACCTACCATCACCAGGCCCGGGTCTGGCCTGCAGCAGGAGTCAGCCTTGGGGCCTCCTTGATGTCTCTCCTTCCCCAACCCCCCTTCCATCCCACCCGGGTCTGCAGCGCTTTATCGTTTGAATCCTCTCCGAGGAAGGGGACCATCTGGGTCCCAGTGCCCTGAGGAGTTCCCGCACACCCTCAATTCCTGCACTTCTGCACTTAACAGTGGGCTGAAGTGAACTTTGCACGTGGGCTGTGCAGGTGGACCCTGTGTGGGCTTGTTGGGAACTGAACATTTCCATGTTTTGTTTTGTTTTGTTTTTTTTCAGCTGGAGGAAGAGAGATCTGTGTTTCTTGGCTCTAGTGTGGGATGGCCTGGGCACTCTCAGAGACTGGCCATCAGAACTTGCCTTGAGGGAGAAAAAGAATCAGTCTGTTTTTCTGGTTTTATTTACACTTTCTTTGGGGGCCACACCTGGCGATACTCCAGGCTTCCTCCTGGCTCTGCACTCAGGAATCACTCCTGGCTGCTCTCCGATGGCCCCTACGGGATGTCAGGGATCAAACCTGGGTTGGCTGCATGCGAGGCAAGCACCTTTCCCGCTGTGCTATCACTCAGACCCAACGCGCCTGCCAGTTTTCAAGTGAAACATGAATGTTTGTGCCTACAGTCATGCTTACTTTTGTAAAGTGGGATTTCCCCCCGCCCCATTCATTTGAAAGAAGTGAGTCTGTCTTTGTCTCCCTGCTCTTAGAGGAACCAAGGGGTACCAGCATCTCCTCCTGGGGTCTTCCCTGGGCACCCGGGAGCTTGCGCTCAGGAAGGGAAAGGGGAGCTCTGGCTGCCTCCAACCCTGGGGCGGGGACTGGAAGCGGGGCCCAGCCTCCTCTGTGGCGGGCTCCCATGGCTCCCGCAGATGGCTCACCGTCTCACGCTCTCCTTGAACACAGATTGATTTCCTGAATTCCGTGATTGTGGACCTCCAAAGAAAGAATCAGGACCTCAACATGAAAGTGGAGATGATGTCCGAGGCGGCTCTCAAAGGGAACGGGGACGACCTCAACAATTACGACAGCAACAACTTCGGCCCGGCCACCTCATTCTCTGCACTCTGCAGAAATCTCCAGCAGTTCCTGGATTAGATAGCAAGCTACTTGTGAAACACCTAAAATAACCAATTTACTGTCTTTACAAAGTTTACTTTTTTTCCACTGTGGTTTTAGATGAATGTATGATGAGAAATTCAACATTAATAATTTTGGATTTTCTTATCACAAAAAATTAAATGAAGGACCTGAACCATCAGAAGGTGATCATCCAGTCTGAATGTATTTATCTTCATTTGAATGTTTTCTAGTTCTGTAAAACGTGATAAATAATGTACCATCAGGGCTACATGGATTATAAGAACTTCTATCATTGTATATATGCTTTTGATGTATTTTCCTCTGGAGATTATCAAGTGTCTCACCAGTGAAAGATCGTAATCCATTGACATTTTGAGTAATAAACACGATTGAAATTGTTTCACAAACTATGTAAAGCAGTATTAAAATTTGAGCAAACAATGTTCTATATCTACTTGAATAAAATTATTTCCTTTTTGCCAGTGATAACTGATTATTCTCCGGTTTATTTATAAAAGATTTTTGGCTAGCAATCAAGAACTATAGAGTCAAATAAGTCAAAGAGTTTCTACAATGGAATTCTGATACACCAATTTCTTTTGGTTTCTTTATGTTTGTGCCACACCTGGTGATGTCTTAGGGCTTATTCATGGCTCTGCACTCAGGAATCACTCCTGACAGTGCTTGGGCAGACTATACGGAACGTCAGGGATTGAAGCCAGATTGGCCAAAGCACATGCCCTACCAGCTGACCTATTGCTCTGTGCCTGTATACCATTTTCTTAAAAGTGTTTATCTTGGGCTAAAGAGGTAGTACAGTGAGTAGGTTTCTTACCTTGCATGTGGCTGATCTGGGTTCAATCGCAGGAATCTCATCCAGTCGTCTGTGCCCTGGTAGGAGCAGTCTCTAAGTGCAGAGGCAAGAGTAAACTGTAAGAAGCACTGGGTTGGGGGTATGGTGCCACCAGCAGGTCAGTCTGTAGCTGTGAGGCGAGTGCATCAGCAGCCTGATGGCGCCTTCAGACTTCCAGGTACCCCCAAATTGCTGCTGTGCCTTGGGTCATACCCCAAAAACTTGGGGCAGAGTTTACCAAGAAAGTAAACAGGCAAAAGTTACATACATAGCACAGAGGGTAGGGCGTTTGCCCTGCACGCTTCCTACACGGCCAACTAGAGTTTGATTCTTCCGCCCCTCTCGGAGAGCCTAGCAAGCTACCTAGAGTATGTCACCTGCATGGCAAAGCCTGGCAAGCTACCTGTGATGTATTCGTTATGCCAAATACAGTAACAAGTCTCACAATGTTATTGAGGAAAATTGATAAATTGATGAACATGAGAGGACATTGACAGTGACATAAAATAAGAAGGGAGCCTGAGGCTAGTCAGGGTCGGATACACAGTATCCCACCGTTTCTTTCCTTTTGTTCCCACCTGCAGTGCTCAGGGCACGACTCTGGGGGTGCTGGGGGCGTGGTTCTGTGGCCTGTGAGGAAGGCTGCGCTCCTGCTCCTCCTGCATCTCTCAGCCTCCTGCCGCCCCTGCCTCCCGCAGCCCTCCTCCCAGTTAAAACTGTGAGTTCCGGGGGCGGGGTGGGTGACTCTGGTGCCTGATCCAGGAGCTTGGAATCAAATCCGTGGACTCAGACCTGCAAGGCCGGTGCTCCGCCGCCCAGTTACACCCCTGCCCCCCACCTTTATCTATTTAGCTTGCCCACTCCTCCCATCTTGTTTTTTTCAAAATATTTTGTTTGACGTGCACACCCTGGATCTCGAGTCCAACCCCTGGCTCTGCGCTCAGGATCACTCCCAAGTCCCCTTGGGGCGTCCTTAGGGTGCGGGGGGGGGGGGGGGGTGGATCCTGGTAGGCCTCGTGCAAGACAAGCGCCCTCCCCGCAGTAAATCGATTCTAACCCCGATGGACATCGCTCGGATGGAAGATGCCTGGGACCCCACAGGCCTGTTTGGATGCCTCGGGCCCCTACGCAGCGGTTCACCCATTCCCTGCTGGCCGTCTGCGGTATCGCAGTTCGGAGCCCGTGTGGTCTCTTTGCCGCGGTGCGCCCACCCTCTGCTGGCCGTCTGCGGTATCGCAGTATGGAGCGTGCGTTCAAGGTGGGAGGTCTGTGAGTTGCGTGCGCCTGCAAACCCACCCAGCCTTCCTCCCACGGGTGCAGTCGCTGAGCCCACCCCTGCTTGCACCTATGGGAACCATAGTGACATTATGGACCTGAAAGGAGGAGACACAGGATGGAAGGACTCTTCCGTGTCTTTGGGCTCATAGATACCAGGAGTAACAGTGACACTCTCTGTGACTGTCCACAGCGCCCCAGCTGCCCAAAGCTCACCGTGGTTGTCGTAGACTCTTTCAACAATCATTTATACTCTTAGAAACATGGGGCCGGAACGATAGCACAGTCGGAGGATTTAATCCTGACTCTGCATTCAGAAGTCGCTCCTGGAAGGCTTAGGGCACACCTGTGGGATGATGGGGCTCTAGCTCCAGCCAGCCTCGTGCAAGGGAAACCCTCTACCCAATATGCTCTCTCCAGAACCTTCCTACTATGGTTCTTCCTTCCTTAGGAAGGGTTCTTTGGATATTGTTTTTGTATTTTTTTCTTTTTTGGTCAAAACTGCCCAGCTCGGGGGTTCTTCCTGGCTCCGCACTCAAGAATTACTCCCAGCGGTGCTCAGGGGACACTACGGATGCTGGAAATCAAACTGGGGTTGGCCGCATGCAAGGCAACCCTCCTCGCTGTACCATGCTCTGGGTCCAGGCTCTGCAGAAGCGTCTTGAAGATTAGGGGTTAAGAGTCAGCTGAAGGGTTGCAGCAGAACCTAGAAAGGGAAACCGTCTGAGCCCTGCCCTCTTCTGGCTCAGCTACTTCCCATCCTCTCAAGTCTCCACGCGTCCCCCAGCTCAGAGGCTCTCTCAGACCAGACAGTCTGAGTGTTCTGGAGCTTCAGTACATAGGCCCTTGGTGAATTATTGGGTCAAGCCCTGGGCAAATCCAGGGAGGTCTGGAAGATGCAACCTTTGTTTACTTTGGTTTCCCCTGACAAATGACCTTCACAGCCTGAGTGACTTAGCGACTTTCCCAAAAGTGCTTCCTTCACAGAACCAAGAAAACTTCCCAGAGCTGGAGAGATAGTATTGGGTGAAGGTGCTTGTCTTGCTAGTGACTCTGAGTACAGAGCCAGAAGTAGCCTTGAGCATGGCTGGTGTGCCCCAAACTCCCTCCCACGGAAACCAATCAGACAACAAAAGAAGCAAAGATAAATTAGAAAAAGCCCTGGCTGGGGTTCCCTGTGCTAGGAATAAGGGTAAATAAAGAATATGATTTTGTACTATAAATCACGGTATCAGGGAATTAGCTAAACAGGTTGGGGTGCAGGCTTGCTTCCCATTATTCATGGTCCTGGAGAATAGCCGGGAGCAGTGCTTGAGCACTAAGTTGGGAGCAGCCACGAAGGACTGCTGGGGGTGGCCACATATTCTGGCCACACCACTGGGAGCTGTGGGGGGGGGGTGTATGTCAGTATTAGAAAGGAGAGAAAGCATTGGGGTTTATTTGGTGATTTGGGGGAAGGGTCTGAGGCATTGGAGGCTGTGGTTGGTATCAACCTCAGGGGATTGGACCCATGCCGGGATGTGCTCTACGATGAAGTCACACACCCCCATCTCTCAATACACTTATCTGGTTCTAAGGAGAGGCGAGACTCAGCTATCATTGCAAAGAAGCAGCAGTTTCCGATGTTGGCGGCGATAGAGGGAAAGTGGGCTTTCATCGGTGGCACTAGGCTCCTGTTGGTTTGTTGCTGGTTTGCTGCATTTTTTCAGAGTCTCAGGGAAACATGATATGGGCTTGGAAAGTCTGTGGAACTGTTTATGTCTAAAAGAACAGCATGAGCCAGAGAGAATTACAGAAGGCAGGACTCTTGCTTTGCACGCAGCTGACCCTGGTTCTATCCCCTTCACCATATCTGGTCCCTGATTCCTGCCAGGAGTGATCCCTGAGCACAGCCTCCCAAACAAAACAAAACAAAAACAAGACCAAATATGTTTTCTCTGTCAAATAGATTGTTTTCTTTGATAGGTCATTGTAAAAAGTTCAAATCTGGGGTAATTTTTATTCTTGGCTATAGTTGAGGAGTGGTGAAAGTTTCTTCTTTTTTATTGGGGGGGAGGGGAGTGAGCACTCGTGGCAGGGGTCAGAGGACCTGGGGATAGAACCCAATTGATGTGTTCAAGGCCATCACCTTACTGAATGTACTGTCTCTCTAGCTCCCAAAGATTTTTCAGAACTTCTAGGACCTCAAGTAACTTTTGCACCAAGGAAGTCATATGTAGGCTGGAGAGATAGAACAGGGCTTAAGGTTCTTGCCTTATGTGGGCCCAATCCCAGGTTCATCCCCCACGCCTTGTATGGCCCCCTGGGCATCACCAGGAGCAATCCTTGAGCACAGAATGAAAAATAACTCTTGAGCACTGTGTTGTCAAGTATGGCCCCCTCCACACCCCAAGTGGAAACAAAATGAAGTAGTAGATAGATTGTCAGCAGGAACCCTGGGCAATGACTTCTTGAGAAGTAATGAAACCAAGATGGGGCCTGAAGAAGTGACTCTTTCTCCAACTCTAAAGTAGAAAAACATATTATGGCTGGACCCACTTTGTGGACACAGGAACTAAGGCCTGATAAGATTCTAACTGGCACCAGCCCAGGTCCAGTAAAGGCTGGACCCCTTTTCGGAAAGAAGATCCAGCAGGAGAATGTGATAGGAAATGAAGATGGACCATCGAACGTTTCAAATGTTGGGGCCCAAGCTATAGCACAGCGGGAGGGCCCTTCCTTGCACAGGGCCGACCCCAGTGCGATCCCAAGTGGTCATCCGAGCCCCACTAGGAAAGATTCCTGAGTGTAGAGTCAGAAGTAAGTCGTGAGTACCACGGGTGTGGTCCCAAAACAAAAACAAGCAAACTGAAAATTAAACAAAACAAAACAACAATACCAAGGTATTTTTTTAATCTAGGGTGAAAATCCCACACATGGTGGTCTGAAAATCCCACACCTATACAATCATTCCGCAAGGTCAGTTTTGTGCCCGCAATACTGTGTGTGTGGGGGGGGATGGGGTGGGTAATATAGGGTGGCTGACTAAAAAGCCCAAGTTCTCTCTTGAATGCATCTCTCTCTCATTCACTTTCTCTCTCTCTCTCTCTCTCTCTCTCTCTCTCTCTCTCTCTTCTCTCTTCTCTTTCTCTCTCCCCTTTAACTCTAAGTTAAAACTTTTTGACTTCACTATTTGTCTCTTTCTGAAATTCTTTTCTGGGAGGGAAGGCAGCATTCCTGGTAAGTCTGGGTCAGACTTAGGCCTGCCTTTCTTTTCCTGCCAAGAGTAACCCCTCTCTCTACTCTGGGCCCCGCAGCTCCCAGAGCTGGGAGGTCGGGCCAAGGACCTGGTAAATTCTTTCCCGCAACACTAATGCTATAGAAAATCAATGGTGATATGTGTGGTGTTGGAATTATGTGTCCGCGAAAGCACCAAGAACAGTGTTGCGAATCACAGAACTATCATCCAAACAAATATATTAAAAATAATATAGTTTTGGGCTGGAGTGATAGCACAGTTGGTAGGGCATTTCCTGTGCATGCGGCTCGATTCCCAGCATCCCAGAGAGTCCCCTGAGCACTGCCAGGAGTAATTCTTGAGTGCATGAACCAGCATCGCTGGGTGTGACCCAAAAAGAAAAAAATTTTTATTTTTATTTTTTGCTTTTTGGGTAACACTTGGCTCTGCTCAGGGATTCCTCCTGCCTTTGCACTCAAGGATTACTCCTGGCAGTGCTTGGGGAACCCGATGGGATGCCTTGGATAGAGCCTGGGTTGCTCGCATGAAAGGCAGCATACCTTTGTACTATTGCTCCACCCCCAAAAATAAAATAAAATAATAAAAGAGCACTAGTAAGATGGAAAGAAATTGAAAGGCATTTGAGCACATAAACACACATCAATGATGTGAAGGAGTGACCTAGCTCTAGAGTCAGTCCCAAGTCAACTACATGGAAAATGCCAGATCCAGACTATGACTGCCAAACTCAAAATGTGCTTGTCCAAGTGGAGGGCTGGAGGGTGACAGTGAACCTGGGGACCCCAGTGGGGCGATGGTGATTCTGGTAGTGGGATTCGTGGTGGGATGTTGCATGTGTAAAACTCAACAATCTCCTGCCATGGAACTCAACATTGCTTTAATAAGCCGGAGGATGGTAGAAGACAGTGTGCAAGCTGCCTCTTGGGTTCAGAAGACGACTGGGATCCTGACCATTCTGCAAATGTCAGCTTGGTCTTTCCTGTCTCATCCAGGGAGGGTCAGTGGGGACCCCCTTCCAGTTACCCATAAAATGTGGTTCTGAGATGCCTCTCACCTCTGCCTATGGGGTTTGTTTCTCGCTGCCTCTCTCCAGACTTCTGCCTGACCCTTTTGTCAAAACACTTCAAACATTTCCTCCTAATCCTGTTTCTTCTAATTGGCTACCTATGGAATAAAGAATTTTGAAATTTTTGCTTATTTTATGATCCTTAAAACAAAATTGGAAAAAAACTCAACACAAATACAATTTTGAAAAAAAAAACCCTTATCTATTAATATCTTTGCAAATCACGGTGCTTTATTAAAAACAAACTGAAATAACTTGGAAATTGCAGGGCAGTGTGTATGCGTATATGTGTGTATGTTTGTATATGTGTATAGTCATGTATGTTTGTGTGTGTTGTATGTATGCTTGTCTGTGTGCATGTGTATGTGTTTGTATTTGCAAGTGCGTGTTTGTATTTGTGCATTTTTCTGTGTTTGTATATATTAATTGTGTATACTTGTTTGTGTTTGTATGTGTTCATATGCATATATGTGTGGCTTGTAATTATGTGTTTCTGTTTGAAGTGTTTGTGTATGCTTGTGTTTATGTGCATGCACGAGCATTTGTGTGTTTGCATGTATGTGTATGTGTTTGTAAGTGTGCATTTGTATTTGCTTGTGTATGTGGTTTGCATGTAGGTGTGTTTGCATGTGTGTGTATGTATGTGTGTGAGAGTGTACGGACAGAGCATGTGAAAAGTTGAGGGT